CTGAGTATCCAACCTACAAAAAGAATTAGGAAATTTAAAACATTTCATGGCTTTAATTTTAAATTATCCTAATTTCTTCTAAGAATCATGAAATGATTGTGAGATTCTTTCCCAACTTTTGCTTGATGTATAAAAATAGTTTGTACAATTGGGACGTGATTTAGAGAAGAGGGGACTTGAAACATCACTGTGAAAGTGTAAAGCACATGAAGTGGATGGACTCCTAGTAGGGAATTTATGAACCTTGAAAACAGCTGAGAGCTCCTGGTTGCTTGTTATAAAAATATAATTATTCATTTATTCTCCACCCCCCAAGACTACAGTCTACAGCCCAGCCTCAATGCCCCCTTCTTAGCTCTTACTACCAGGTTGCTGTGACAGTCCACATTAAACAAGGCTGTGTTCCTCAGCATTTCAGGTGGGCATTTGAGAGGCAGCCTCCTTGACACCAGACTCAGGATGCTATGGGTCTTCGTGCATCTGTCTCCATGGACAGCTGAGTCTACAGCTTTGATGGTCGGAACTTATTTATTTCCTTTCGGGCCACTTCCTAGGTTAGGTTAGAGGTAGGCACTTCCCAGCATAGGAGACAATAATCTGATTCAATTTATGTCTCCTTCTGTGTACTATTGAAAAGATTATTCGAAAAAGAATGAGTAATCTCTTTCCTTCATGTTGTTGTTAGCTATTGAATACCAAATTTTAGCAGAAAAAAAAAAAAAAAAAAAAAAAAAAAAAAAACAAATCTGGCACAAAGAGGGGGCGAATTTAGTTTGGCTCCACGTGGCTTCTCCTGGTGGGCATCATGATTTCAGAAGGATATCTAAGTGATCTGTGTTGCTTCTCCCATGAGAACCCACACAACAAGGAGGAGAACTCGCGATGATTAATCTGTTCCTATAAAGCTTACAGGTCACTGGAAGATGTTTGTGTTTCTCTCTTTTCTTCGTTTTTCAGAGATTTTATTTGTTCCACCATGAAAGTCAGCTGATATTTGTGTATAGTTTTTATGGGGGTTTCATTCAGTCATACATGAGAATGTGATACAGTTTCTGGCTAGTTGCTAAACAGACTGGAACACGATGGGTTGCTTCTTCTCCCCACCTAAGCCCTCATCTATTAGAAATGGGACAGAGGTGTCCATTCATATTCCCATTCTACGATAAAGATAAAATTCATACTACAGCCCAGGTAACCTGTGCTTGGGCTGCACTTCATGGCTGAGGCTGTAGCAGGGAGATAATTCCTAACCCTGACCCAGTGGGCAGCATGCTACCTTGCATCACTGTTTCCAGAAGGAGCTTTGCATCTTGGAACCTTCTTACCATTTCTAGAAAATTGTCAGTGCAGAGTACCCAGGACTTAACTGATGTCAAAGAGTCATTAAAAAAAATCTAGAGCCAAATCGGAAGGGAAAGGAAATTTGGCATTATAATACCATATCCTCTTGAGTGAAATAAACGGAATTAGATGAAAGTGAAGAACACTTGAATTAAGCTTGAGATATCCTGTTTCTCCTTTGTTGTTCAGCCACAGAAATGGAATCCACAAAGCAAGGGCAGCCCCTTCTCCTTAGTCCCCAGGGGGGTGGGGGGGCTCACAGTGGAGAGCTCCTTCGAGCCTCGAGTTCTCAGTCTGTAGTATTTTATAATCAGTCTTTTCTGATTGGCAGCTCAATGTATGGTACATCCAGTCAGAAGACCCTCTTCATTGTCCTTCTAAGCTGAGTGCTTCTGTGGTCTTCATCCGCTGGTGAGAGCAGTCACATAGTGATTTGATTCATTAAACTGGACAGCTTTGCAAATCTCTTCCTGTGAAAAGTGCAAGGGAGCCGTGCTTGGCCATAAAAACACGTCTGCAGCATGAGGGGGTCTTTCCAAGGTGAATTAGACTTGGATACTTTACCTAGATTGCTGAAGGAACCTAGTAGAGAAGTCATACTGAAAATCGGCTTAAATACCCCTGCATGTAAGGATGTAACTCACTATCAGCTCAGCATCCTTCAAAAAAGCCTAATACAGGTCCAGTGCTGTTGATTTTCTTCCTTCCACCAGTGGTTTCTCTATTTTCTGCTTTTTAGGAAAGAGGCTATGGACCAAAACGCAGTTTTACCATTTTCTCTTCACTTTCATTATTCTCCTTGAAAGGTTTGGGGAACAAAGACCTGCAGTCACATTGAGAAGTTGCCTAGCACAGGGCTGTGGCAAGGAAAGAGCTCAACTTAGATATGCCTTGTCTTTGCCTTTGTGGGCATCAGAAACCCACTCACCCCCCCCCCCATGTTAACTTCATCCTTTTCTCTTCTGTTTGACAAAAAGCATTGTCATTATCACTAGCAGCAGATTTGGCCCTCTGCCTCAGCCTGGTCTACCAACTCAATAATGCACAGGCCAGCAGCAGTATTATCTCAAGGTGACACCTGCAAGGGCTGACTGCTGCACTTCTTAATCCGTTTATGTAACCCTGCCTCCTTTCCTTGCAGTTACTGGCAGGGCTTTAGCAGCAATAAAAATGGTTCCTTTCCCAAGACAGAGTTCATTCGATTTAAAGCTGCATTGATTATAGCTAAACTTATGACATGGCTTTACAAAGGGAGAAAAAACAGCAATAAATTATGCACAGTGATTATTTAGCATTTATTGAGTCCCCACAGTGTCCTGGGCTCAGCACATAACCGCTAGGCATAAAGCACTGCCCTTGAGAATGAAAGCAGAGCTGTCTATCTGAAAAGGCACTCAGGGCAGCCCATCAATCCAGATGCCTTCAATTCCTACGCAAGGGTCACCTGACCATATGGCCACTCAGCCTTACCCTCAGTGCAGTTTCCTGACTGTATGGGGGTAATGGACTGTTGGCCCATATCCGTGTATTCTCTTAATTTTCTTTTTTTCGGGACCATTTCACTATCATCCTTGACTTTTGAGGGATCACTCCTTCCTGCTCCTCAGTCTTGTGTTCAGACTAAGGCATTTACTGAGGCTAGAGTGCCAGTGAGGATGGCATTGGATCCTAGGGCATCTGTGATGTTTCTCTGGTGGTAGCCTGGTTGGTGCACAAGGTAAGGTACTCAGAGTGGGTACCAGGATTTCTTCTAACTAGTTGTGCAGTACATTACTTGGGTGTGCATCAATTAGAGAATTCAGATGTAGATTATGAGAAAACCTTTTAAAATGTAAGTCATGCAGCAATTATATAAGTAAATATGTATAGTTGTCTTGGTTTCTGTTCTGCTACTGTAATAAATACCTGAACATCAAGCAACTTGGGAAAGACAGCTTTGCTTTGACTCATAGTTTGACCTTACGGTCCATCACTGTGGGAGCCACAGCAGTAGGAGCTTGAGAAGGCAGCTGCTCATGCTGCATCCTGATATAAGAATCAACAAGCATCAAATGCTAAGGCTCATATCACATTTTTATTTTATGCAGTCGAGTATCCCTGCTCAAGGAATATTTCCACCCACATTTTAGATAGTTCATACCTTATGAATTAATCCTCACAACATCAAACATCAAAGTGACTTAGATTTGAAAATTTAGTATAGCATTATTAATTCATCATAATCCCCATTCAGAATTCTCCTTAATAATTATTTTTAAGAAGAGAAATAGGAGGGGGGGTGGTACTGGCATTTTCTCTCCTTGCTTTAACCACCTACTTTTAAAGGGGGAAAAATTAAAGGTGGAGAAAATCAAGTGAATTAAGATAAAATTAGCCAGCATTCATCACATAACAGGTCCACTCTTTCAGCCTTTTAAATACTTGAATGCTTTAGAGGAGGAAGCAGATGCTCCACTAAAAGGAAACATAAGGTAAAGTCACATTCTCATTGAACAGCAAGACACCACTGCCACCTGGGATTCGATGCGCACGCATGCTCCTTGGATTCCATGGGCACGCATGCTCCTTGGATTTGATGTGCACGCATGCTCCTTGGAGTTGATGTACATGCATGCTCCTTGGATTCCATGGGCACGCTTGTTCCTTGGATTCCATGGGCACGCTTGCTCCTTGGATTCCATGTGCACGCATGCTCCCTGGATTTGATGCGCAGACTTGCTCCTTGGATTCGATGCGCAGGCTTGCTCCTTGGATTCGATGCGCAGGCTTGCTCTTTGGATTCCATGGGCACGCATGCTCCTTGGATTCCATGGGCACGCATGCTCCTTGGATTCCATGGGCACGCATGCTCCTTGGATTCGATGCGCAGGCTTGCTCCTTGGATTCGATGCGCAGGCTTGCTCCTTGGATTCCATGCGCACGCATGCTCCTTGGATTCGATGCGCAGACTTGCTCCTTGGATTCCATGCGCAGACTTGCTCCTTCACCCCACTGTACTACTGTTTTCACTAGTGCCTTGATTGGTTTTGGAATTAAAATAAATAAAACCTTTTTCTTCACACTGTTCATCTGTAAATAGTTCAGTGTTGGAAATCATTAGACGTTAAAGTAACTCTCCTAATGTTGCCCCTGTATGATTCAGATTATATTTAACAACTGGGACTTGGGGTATATTTATTTATTTTTTTAAGATAGGGTAATTATAATTATTTTAAATTGTCAAAAGTTTCATTTCTTTTTTTTTTTTTTTTGAGTCACTTTGTTATTTCTTTTTTCTTTTTGCATCATTTAAGGTTCTCAGGCAAAGCCTTGTGGCGCATGCCTGTAATCCCAGCACTCTGGAGGTGGGTGAATCAGGCATTCAACCATTTTCAGCTATATAGCAAGTTCGGGGCAAGCCTGGGCTATATCAAACCTGTGTCAAAAATGTTACACATGCACAAGTTATAGGAAATTTCAGTGAAGATTCAAATTTCACCTAATGAATGTTTTGTGATTTTGATCATATGGGTTCAAAAGGGAAACAGGAATTTTCCAACCATAGTAGGATCCCAAGGACAAGTTTACCCCCTGCATTAGGTTTATCTCGAATCAGAATCTTTGCTTATGCACGTGTCTGCTCACAAGCTCACTGCCTGTGTGTGTGTCTTTGCCCCCAGTGGACCTGGACAGGCTCAATGATGATGTCAAGCGTTACAGTTGCACTCCCAGGAATCACTCGGTCAATCTCAGGGAGGAGCTGAAACTGACCAATGCAGTCTTCTTCCCACGATGCCTCCTCGTGCAGCGCTGTGGAGGCAACTGCGGTTGTGGAACTGTCAGCTGGAAGTCCTGCACCTGCAGCTCAGGGAAGACGGTGAAGAAGTATCATGAGGTACATCATCTCCAGCGTCGTTCCAGTGCTGTACCCAGCTACTCTAGCCTTGTCATCTTGTATCCGTGAGGTCATGGGAGATCATGCCACTTAACATGGTTGGTCAAGGGGTTGAAGGGATTGCACACTGGATAAGAGCACTTGCTGACTTTGCAAAGGGCCCCTGTTCCTTTTCCAGACACATGGTAGCTTACAGCTGGAATGTTACACTAGTTCCAGAGGATCGACAGGCACTGCACATGTACGAGGCACATACACACATGCAGGTCAAATGTTCATACACACACAATGAAAGTAATGAAATCTGTACAAAGAAATATGGTTGTTCAATTGCTCACCCAGTCAAGGGTGTGGCTGGGAGCTAAAATTGTACCTTGGCTCAAGGTTAATTCCATCCAAAGAAGGGACTCCTGCTTTACCTTCACAGTAAACATATGGGAAGACAACAGTGTATCAGATTATATATTGATACTTTTTAGATCCTCTTCATCCAACTTGTAGAGAAATCTGGTATTTATTTATAGGCTATAACTGTTAAATCTAGGTAGCTGCAAGAAAATACTAAGGACCAAATTTTCTTTCAATGGAATTATAGTTGAAAAAAAAAAAAAAAAAAAAGCAGAGTAAAAATGTAAATTGTCCGAGGCCTGTTCATTCTCTAAATGGTGAAGTGGTTTTCATGGAAATGCTTAATTTCCCTAAATAGTATTCACTGCTACCTGGAGACTTAGCTCTTAGATTGTTAAAGAAGTGAAAAGTAAACGTAAAGATCAAGATCAGAAAACACAAATTAAAGGACATGTTTGTTACAGTGAGAACACAGCGGCTCAAGCTCTGGGGTAGCCAGTGCTAAAAGAATGCATTAGCTCAAGGTTGTATTCATAGGTAGTGATCCAAGGCTGACAGATGAGGAAGAGGCGAGGCATCCATGCAAATGCACTTAAAAATGCTAACATGTGGCACAGATGTTGCCCTTGGGCAACTTTGGGTGCTAAGGAGGTGCTTTATGGGCAGTAGTGCTTGGTGGCCCTGGCAGTTGAAATGTGCTTGATCCCCACGGATCATAGGGAATGGCACTATTAGGAGTTACGGCTTTGTTGGAGTGTATGGATAGCCTTGTTGGAGGAAGTGTGTCACTTTGGAAGTAGGCTTTGAGGTCTCATACATGATCAAGTATTTTAGATCACTTCCTGCTGCCTGTGCGTCAAGATGTGGCCCCACCACATCTGCGCATGCCGCCATACTTCCCACTGCCATGACCCCCACCACGATGATAGAGAGCCAACCCTCTGAAAATGTAAGCCACCCTCGCTTAGATGCTTTCCTTTATCAGAGTTGTTGCACTCGCGGTATCACTTCACAGCAATAAAAACCCTAACTAAGGCAGAGGTTAATCAATAGGACCTGAGTTCAAAACCAGGCAGAGAGAAGGAATACATGGACAGTCTCTCAAAATAAGACTTGCAAATTTGAGTTGCGGGTGTGAGAGCTGAGCATAGGGGGTTAAGTTTGTAATGTCCGCATTTGAGAGGCAGAGGCAGGGGAATTTCTGCAACTTAGAAGTCAGTGTAGGCCATACAATAAGTCCCAGACCTTTTTCAAAACAAACAAACAAAAAAAGATAAAACAGCAGGCTACAAATAGTCCTAGACCTTGATCAAAACAAACAAAAACAAAAGATAAAACACTAACTTTGCATCAGGTACTTTTGGGTTGTTGTTGTTGTTATAGTGGTTTTCTGTCCTGGAAACAATGTAATGTAACTTCTGAAGAAAAAAAAAAAAAAAAAAAAAAAAAAAAAAAAAAACCGGAGCACATCAACACTGCCTCTGTGCATTGGGAGAGACAGGTCCCACAACAGTGTTAGATTCCCAGAAGCATAATTTACCATTTTACACCCACACAAAAAGCATTTTCTGGGTCTTAAGAATAGCTGCCTTTTTGTGACTGGGTTCCTCACACAGGATGGTTTCTTCTAGTTCCATCCATGTCCCTGCGAATTTCAGGACTCCATTGTGGTTTTCATTGTGTAAATGTACCACATTTTTCCCATCCCAACATTGAGAGGCATCAATGTTGCTTCCAGGTTCTGTGGGTGTTAGTTAGGAGGACTGGGCAGTCTATGGGGCCTCTAGTAATGGATCAGTATTTATCCCTAGTGTAAGAATAGACTTTGGGAGCCCATTCCACATAGAGGGACACTCTCAGCCTAGACACATGGGGGAGGGCCTAGGCCCTGCCCCAAATGATGTGACAGACTTTGAAGACTCCCCATGGAAGGCCTCACCCTCTTTGGGGGTGGGCTGGGGTTTGGTAGGGAGGATGGGAGGATGGGAAGGTGAGGGAACTGGGATTGGCATGTAAAACAAGCTTGTTTCAAATTTAAATTTGAAAGGGGGGAGAAGGATAGTCGGCTCCACCCCACTGCATTCAGAGGAAAGTAAAAGCTGTTCTCATGTGAACAGAGTGGTATCGCCCCTGTTCACCGTGCTTTATTTCTGTGTGAGCAGATGAACCCCAGATTGAAGGTTGTCCTTCAGTCTCAGAATGTCAATTTTGTCATGTTTACCAAAAAGATAAATGTGGGGTTCAGTAATTGGTGGGAGCTAAAATACTCCAGGAAGTGTCAGGATCTGCTGTGCAGTGGCAGTGAGCCACGATGTGCAAGACCAGCTTTGATGCATCTGCAGACTGCTTTCCTTTTGTCTTGACTCTGGGGAATGAGGTTTCAGCTTGACTTTTTTTTTTCCATGTTCCTTATTTCTAGAAACTCCAAAAATGAGTTCTGCATGGCAGGCAGTTGGGCCTGTGTAATCTGAAGCCTCAGATACCAACCTCTCATCAGTTCCTCTATTCTCTGTTGTCTACAACAGCCAGCCTTGAGCTGCCTGTCACAATTAATGACAAAGAGGAAAGCCTTGATCGCTTTGTTTGGTTGTGAGGTATAAAACATCAGTGTTCTTCTGGAAGTACGGTGTATAGCATCGCATTCAGACGCAGGTCATAATATTTGTCCAGGTAGGGCTCCACAGAGTCCTATATGAAATGACCCTACCAAGTGCGGGACAAAAGCACCCAACAGCATCAATCACTCGGTCAGGTCATTGACTGAAAAACAGGCCTGTCAACCTCCCGTCCAACTGCTAAAATGTGTCAGGGTGGTCACTGTCAGGTGCTCTGTGAAGAGTGGCAGAGAACTTCTTCCAGTTCCAGAAACATCCTCAGCTCATTAGGAGAAAGTGGAAACCCTTTATTCTACATTCTATTTTATTCTGTTCTATTATTCTATTACTCCGTGCCTATATTCTTACCTCTGCTACATAAAAGGCAGCTTCCCCAGTCTGTGTTGCAGCTGATGAGATGTGAAATGAGTTTCTATGAGAAGTGATGGCCCTAAGGGATTAAGAACATAGAGAGCCTGTGTGCTTCTCCACAAGAATTTTAGTGCTCAACAGTCAGAGATAAGAATGAACAATTAGAAAGTTCTAGGTGAAGCTAACAGTGTCACTGTTTGCACAGGCCATGCACTACTTCTCTTGTAGTGGGGTGAGTGTCTTCAGTGCAGGACAAAGTATTTCTGCTTTCAACTTTCAGGATGAATGCATGATAGTGCTTACTGTGTAATTCTGAGGACCTGGGTTCAAATCCTAGGCACCCATATAAAACCTGGGTATGACCACATGTGTCTGTAAACCCTTCACTGTGATAGGTAGAGATGGGGGATCACTGGGTTTATGTCCACAGGCATAGATAACACACAAACACACACACACACATACACACATACACGCACACATGCATACATACACACACGTTCACACAGTAATATGAGTGTGCATGTATATATATATGTGTGTGTATATATATAGATATAGATATGTGTGTGTATATATATGTGTGTGTGTGTGTATATATATATGTGTATATATATATATATATATATATATATATAGTTTTGCAGGTTTCCAGATTCATCTTTCATAGCATTCCTCCCCTTCATCTCTGAACACATAGTGTAAACTTGGAAAAATACCATTTCTGAGTTTGTGACTGAGGCCACCCTAATCAGAGAGACAATAGCAGAAGCGCATAAAGATTTAACACCTTTCACATGGCACAGGAGCTATTGTAAACAAATGAAGACCCTTACAAACTCATCAGCCTGAGGGCAGTTCTGTGTAGCAGGTCTGATGAAGGCCGATGGGTGGTGGAGTGCGCATCACTGCTGAGACCAGAGCACCCACAGGGCATTGTTCAGGGTTCTCTTCTGTCCTGTTGTCTGAAAGACGACAGTGATTTTTCATCAGAATAAAAACGGTCCACAGCTCATATGAGGCTGTCTTCTTCCATCGGGGCACGGAGCTCCTATAAGGTCTTCTCATCCTGCTTCATGGGGTTTATGACCTATTTCACGAGAGACAGCTGAGAGTATCTGTAGAATGACTTCTGTCCTTCCAAAACATACTTTGGGTAGTGACTCTTTCAAAGGCAAGGCTCAGTTCATCCAGCACCTGCTGGAAACAGATGCAGATGCACAACCAAACATTAGGCAGCACTCAGGAATCAAGCTGAAGAGAGGAAGGATTGCAGGATCCAGAGAGTCGAGGACGTCACAAGAAAACCCACAGAATCAACCAACCTGGGTTCACAGGGGCTCAGGGAGTCTGAACCGACAACCAGGGATCCTGCATGGGACTGATGTAGGCACTCTGCATAGATGTTAAGTTGTGTAGCTTGGTCCTCTTATGGGCCTCCTCACAGTGGGAGCAGGGGTTGTCCCTGAGTCTTTTACTGGTTTTGGGGTTGCTATTCCTCATACTGGGTTACCTTGCCCAGCCTTAATATATGGGGAGGTGCTTAGTCTTACTCCAACTGGATATGTCATATTTTGTTGCTATCCATGGGACCCCAGTTCTTTCCTGAACAGAGAAAAAGTGGGCTGGGGGTAGAAACGGAGAAGGGGTGGAGGGGCAGGACTGTGTGTTTGGGGGGGGGTGCTG